CAGCATTTACACATGAACGACTTCATAAGAGTCATAAGCCCTGGAGCAAAAGTCACACTTTTAAAAATATGATCCATAACCTGAAGTACAATTTATAAAAGCCATATAAATGTAACAATGACCACTAAATGTTTTTCAATTAAGAGTTATTCTGTGTATTTTGAGAACATAGAACTCACATTTACTTTGGTACTTTCATACCAAAGTAAAAGAGCTCTAGATCAGAGGTGTCCGAGTCCAGGCCTCGCGGGCCGGTGTCCTGTAGGTTTTAGACGTGTCCTCGATCCAACACAGCTCATTTAAATGTCTCGAAGTTCTCCAGAGGCCTGGAACTAATGAACTGATTCAGGTGTGTGAGATCCAAGTGACGAAGCGCTCTCCCACAAAACGCTACGTCCAGATGAACAGAATCAACTTTTGGAAATCTCAGTTTTAGTTTTGACTGGAATCATCTCCTGATTAAAAGCACAACCACACAGATTGACTGCAGCTGTGTGCAGTGAGTTGGTGATCTGGTTGCTTTGCAGGTCTGTGATCCTCGTCAGAGCTACTTTGGTGCATCGAGATGACATGAAATAGATGTTGAAATAGTTTGTGACTTCATGGATATAAACTAAATGCATATAATGGGAATTATTTGCATTTTTGTGATAATGTTGATCAGCATGCTAACCTGCATATATAGAAATATGTAATAAAAATAAATGTTACAGTTCATCCAGAGGATCGTTGATAATAATAATAAAGATCTGCAAACATCCTTCTGTCCAGGATGACAAAAAGAGTACAGCCAGCTGCTGCATGCACACACACACACACGCACACACACACACACACACACACACACACACACACACACTGCAGATGTGCACACATTAATACAAACTGACTGCAACATGACAACATTTTGTCTCTGTGTGTAAATTCTAATTATTTGCCCTGATGATGAGCTCGTAATGTTAAAACGTTATAAAGTTCCTGACACTGCAAACGACCGTCTACATGAATCTGAACACAACACAGCATCAAGTAGACCAACTAGTATGACAGTATTATTATTATAAATCCAGGTAAATAGTTCATATGACTTATGAAGGAAGGGCAAGTACGATTTATAAATGGTTGATATGGGACTAAATGGGCCAAAGAACACGGTGTTTGTGACTAACTGTTATTTATTTCATCATCAACAATGTGAAACTCAGTGTTTTAAAACATTTACTGAAATCAAGTTACATTAATGAACTCAACTTAATAATATAACTTAATTAGTTTATTAGCAGAGATTTGATTTATAAGCAAAGACATTATTTATATTTCTGCTCTTTAACTTATTTTGTTTAGGATTGGAAATATTGATGCGGTCATCTGTTGTTGTTTTGTCACTATCCACCACAGAGTCCTTCCCAGTATGTTTCCAGCATCATGATAAAAAATCATTTGCTCTGAATACACTATGGCCCATTAGTTATGATCACATTTTGAACACACCTGGAATGAAAATGTATTAAATTAAAGGTTTAGCAGCAGTTTAAGCAGTCTAATACAAGTGTTATAATGCTCCAGTGTGCGACTGTCCCACTGTTATCTTGGTGTTCGGTTAAAGATGAACTTATTGTGTTGATAGGCAGCACACGGGGCACCATGTTTGTAGTCTTCTTACATACAGTCCAAACAGCACCTGTTTATGCAGAGATGATATGGATGGGAGCCTTGATATTATCTCAGCCGGAGAAAAACTGAGTGTGAGTGAGGTGGAGTCGATCCATTTGGAAAAAATATTCTGCATAATTTCTGTGTAAATGTTCCAAAAGAGGAGCTTTTTTCTCAAAGGACATCGCTGATTCACTCCCACGTCAGTGTTGCAGGTGTGAGGCTGGCATGACATCACTTCCCCGGCCGTTTCTATAAATGACTCCAAAATTCAGCTGTTTAATGATAACACTCTGAAAGTCATTTATGGTGCAAATGCCTGTGTCAGTGACGCGTAACCATGTGGCACAGAGAGAAGCACGCCGCTGCTGCAGGTCAGCTCAATGATTGATTGCACCTGGCAGACGGTTTCATAATCAGCCCGTCCTCCGAGGAAACGTTTGATGGTGGAACAAGCAGAGGACCTAACTGCTGCTGTGTCTTACTTTGTGTTGCATGATAGTGGCCGTGTCCATGTTGGACAGCAGTGTACTTCAGAGCTTCTAATACCTGTGTTAACGATTGAAAAATTATTTTTAACTCTCCATCTTTGATGTTTTTGGAGAATATCAGATCTCTATAAATAAAAGTGACAGGGAAAAGTGCATAATTAAGGTTGCAGTTAGCAGAGCTTTTGATTTTTCTGGTTTTATGGAACGCCTTCACACAGACTGTGAAGAAACAACAGATGAAACCATTGGTGATGCAGTCACACATTTAAGCATTTCTTTGACTTTGTAGTGAATGACTGAAAGAACTGCTAATGCAGGGGTGTCCACTCCAGGCCTCGAGGGCCGGTGTCCTGCAGGTTTTAGATGTGTCCTTGATCCATCACAGCTGATTCAAACGGCTAAATGACCTTGTCACATGTCTTGAAGTTCTCCAGAGGCCTGGGAATGAACTGATCATGTGATTCGGGTGTGTTGATCCAGGGTGAGATCTAAAACCTGCAGGACACCGGCCCTCGAGGCCTGGAGTTGGACACCTCTGTGCTAATAGGAGTGAAGGATGCTTCCTGGTATTCTGTATATTTCAGAGGTTTTCTGTGACTCTGGAGCTGCACACTGTATGTATTGGAGTTTGAATACGATGAGGCACTTTTCACTTTTGAGTTAGTCTAAAAATGAATTTCAGCAGATTGCTTGATGCGCACGTTCTATGAACTCACTTCCAGCCTGAGCGCTCCCACCTGTTCCTTGAATGCTCCTCTGGAACAGTAAACTGAATGTTGTGGGATTATTTTCCCACATATGGCTCGGTGTAGAGGGTCACGGGCGTCTGTTCCTGCAGGCCGAGGAGCCATTAAAGAGTTTGACTTCAAACCACTCAAGTGCACCAATGCAGCCTCTCGGCATTATGCCTACTGTTATCCAAGGACAACTGCATCGGTGCCAGGCTCCCAGTGTGTGGTAATCCTCACCTGACCGGTGCATGACACTGTTTCACAGACGCTAGTGCCTCCTGCTGTGTCATATATCTTAAATTGCCACCTGTTGTTTGCTGCCAGAAGAGCTGTAATGTTTCAGGCAGCAACAGAATGCATGCAGACAGTATTATGTGTGCATGCCAATACAATAGGAGTGTCAGTCAGCACACTGCTATGGCTCAGTATGAGCAGGCTTCTTTATGTCTTGCTTTTGTCTTTTGTCACCAGTAATAAATGACTTTGGAATTAGAACATCCATCACTCTGCCTTTGGCTTGTTTTCAGGTGTAATATGTCCTCACTATCCTTCTCATATGTGAAAAAATGAAATTATTTTGACATCGTTTTATCCAAGTTTCTTTTTGTCCAGAAAATACCTTCTAAAGCTGCTTGGTTTAGTCTGACTCCGGGTGATTCTGTTCTATGAACTGGTCACAAGTTAGCACGTCGACTCGAACCTCTGCTTGTTTTTTAACTTGGGGTCGATGTTTCACAGGGTTTTTCTCTGCCATGGAAAAGATGATGTGATCATCCCCCGCTAAGAACAGGAATTAGCTTTGCTTGATGCCCAAAAAAGTCTGTTTCATTTCCACTGAACTTTATTTAACCACTTGTTTAATACGATTTACAGTCGTAATGTTCAACTGTTATTTTCTTTTAAAAACCATGTTTATTGTGCAAGTGCGGGTTCCCATATGTTCAAAAAGATAATCGAGAATAGAAATAGAAAAGAAATAGAAAAGAATGCCTCAGTGCATGACAGTCAGGACTCGTTCCCCGACCCTAAGGCGCAGGGAACAAACCTCTCATCCACGGGAAGACCCCAACGTACCGGCAGCAAGCGAGGGGATATTAGAATACCCACCCCAGGCCCGCCGCCTCTCACCAGGGGCAACTCCAGACTGAGACAGAGTCCAGCCCCTCTCCAGGAGACTGGTTCCAGAGCCCAAGCCATGTGTAGAGGTGAGCCGACTATATCTAGCCGGTACCTCTCAACCTCACGCACTAACTCAGGCTCCTTCCCCACCAGAGAGGTGACATTCCATGTCCCAATTTCCAGTCTTGGTTGCCGGGGATCGTCTGCCAGGGTTCTCCGCTCCTGGCCGCCGCCCAACCCCTACGGCGCCTCCTGCGGGTGGTGGGCCTGTGGAGGATGTGGCCCATGTCCCCTTTTCGGGCTGTACCCGGCTGGGCCCATGGACTAAGGCCCGGCCAGCAGACGCTCGCCTTCGGGCACCCTCCCTGGGCCTGGCTCCAGGGCAGGACCCCGATAAC